GTACCATCTATTGCTCGTTCGCTCGTAACATTCATCTTATATGTTTTTTCGTATGTCCCATTACATGTAATCTATCTATATATTTATACGTATGTTCATACCCTTAGCCTGCGTATCACGTCTCTCTTTTTCTCTGTTTCCCTTGTTCAGTTATCGTTTTTTGTTCTATGTCTTTGTCTCTTTTGTTCTATATATATATATATATCTTCGTTTGATCTAATTCTCGCTCATCCCACATGTATTTCTTCCGTTTTATTGTCCCTAACCTCTTTTCGATTCAGTTACGTTGCCAATTATGTTTTGCCAGTGTTTGAACATAACCTCGCTTATTCAACTCATCTCTACATATCCCCGAGTCTTCTGAATTCCAATCGCCTGTCTATCGTCTTTTTTTGTTTCTTCATTTTATCATTTTCCTATTTTTCTCGCTCAATCATTTTTGTTTTCTCTTTTTTTTCTCTCTCTCTGTATTTGTCTATCTTGTCTATCTATCTACCTGCGTATTGTTTGTCATTTTTGACCCGACGGCTGCCGCTTATAGTTCGCGTGAAACAAATTATGATCCAACGTCTTCAATTTTACAATATCTTTGTGCGACAATATCTTTGTGGGAAATATCAATGTTTAATAATAATTTATCAATTGAAATTTACATTAATTTATCAATTGAATTTTAATTCTAACTGCATTTATCTTATCTGTATATTAGAAATTATACTAGAACCTTACTCGATCGGTAACAGAATAAATCTATCTTATCTTTAGATAAGAAAAATTTGAACTTAAAATGAAATCGAAATCGAAATCGCGAACGTATGGCTACAGCTAAAGGGTTGTTACTCTCTTCACATCTACATTGAAAGTACAATCGTATCGAATTGTCTCTGTGTTATCTGTGATATGTCGTCGGATGATCGTTGTCTATAACCCTGCTCTTATCCGCCCCCCCCCCTCTCTCTCTCTCTCTCTGTTCTGTTCCGTTCTTTCTCTATTGTTCTGTTTATGTATTGTCATCTTGTCCTATTTAGCGCTGAGTTCTTAGCTATTATTACTACGATTATCCTGATATATAACGTAACCGGTCATAAACCAAGTAATAGTATGTTTGAGAATCGTGTCATTTTTTACGTAACAATATCCTGTCTGGTCTTGTGTTGTTTTTTGTGTTGCCAGGCTTGCACTTTTTTATGTACGTTGTGTATTTCATAAGCCCTTGTCGAATTTGTCTCTAGTGACTTTTTTCCCCCTAGCATCTTATACACGAACGCTGACTTTATTGCGCGCCTCTTGCGTCAAAAACATATATATTCTTGCGTTCCATTTTTTTGTTCAATTGTTCCTTTCCGTCGTTTGTCGATTATTAACCTAATAATATATATATATACATCATCATATAACATTTATATTTATGCATAATAGATATTTGTACATAAGCGGTGGAAGAGATCTAACTAATCGTGGTATATAAAATAAAATCAAATGTAAAACGATGACGATGAAAACGAGAATGAGAAAAAAAAAACAAGTTATGATGTATTGTTCCGAATCGACGGATCGGCAATAATTACGAAATCGGAACCGTTCAATACACAGCTTTATGATACATGATATGATACGAAGGACCTGAACGACCAATCCCTCCCTTGTCCCTTGTCTACGTCTGTTATCACCTGTCTACAATGTGCCAATAACCCCGTTACACCAAAGCCCTGTGTCTGTCTTTAACCGATCCGTGCTATCTAACCCACCGAAAGTTATAATCTCATAACAGAACACGACAGAAACCCTCTTTTGGAGAAAAATCGATTCGTCCTTATCCGTCCGTGGTTCACGTTAAAGCCAATAATAATAATTTCTCATAAATCAGAAGAAGACTGCAAAAGATTTCTTTTCGATTCGATATTGGTGAATTAATTCGTGAGTTATTAAATTTTTTGAAAAGAGAAAGAAAATGAAAGAAAAAAAGAGAAAATGAAATCATTTCTGATTAAATCGTTCAATTATTATATATATTCTTGAACAGGAAACGAACGAGTATCTATAATCTAAAATAAATAATAAGGAAAAAAAGTTTTCGAAATAATAAGATGAAAAAAAGAGAAGGCAGAAAAGAGAGGAAAGTCGTTCGATACGTTTGAATGTCGCGCGCGCGGGAGGAAAAGAAATATGGCGCGATAAAATATATAAACATCGTATCGCTGACAGAGCAATAAGAATGAAAAAAATCCAAGTAAAGAGAGACAGAATTCGGCATTGCGTCGCTATATCGCGCTGATCTTTCTGTCGCGAGACCGTCCATATTTTTATTTTTCTTTCTTTATTATTTTTCTTGTTTTTTCGTTATTCAGTCTTACGCGCTCGCCACCAGATGTCGGTGTGTTCGAGATTGAGCCACATATATATATATATATATAGATAAATAAAAAATATATATATATCCGTTTCTCTCTTCTTTTCGATTTTATTTTTTCAATTCGATTCGAATTGTTTCCTTTTATATTACGATTCACTATGATTTCAGATTCTTTTCTTCTTTGTTTTCTTTTTTTTTTTTTTTTTACCAGTAGTGACGACTGTGCCTGCCACCTTGCTATGCTCGTACTTGGAGGATCAGCACCCAGGTAATGTTTGATCCCCAAGTCGTCGAAGGAACGAGAACGGTGGCATGGTGCGCGTAGCCGGAATTATACACGGCTTTGATCGTTCTCGAGAACGACACGATCGTTTGTCCATTGGATATCGTCAGACTTTTAATTCTCATGGGGGAATATCTGGATCCTCCAAGAACGAATCATGACCCCATATGCAATTCCTTAGGGACAAATGAATATATATATATATATTGTATATATATATACAAATATCAAATGCATCTATGCAGCTTGTTGTATGTGTTCTACCATACTTTGATATTTGATATTTGCTAAAATGATAAAGGAAAAATGTTTTTTCATTATGTGAGAATAATTTGAAATGTGTGTTACAGATAGCAGAATCTGAATATTAACCGTGAACTTATAACTTTGTTGTTCTAATTTATTAGAACTTATTTCTTAATTAGACATTAAAAGTGACAAATATAGATATAAATATTTCAGCATCTCTATGGCTTTATTCAATATGTATAAAAAAAAAAATCTTTTCAGATGTGGAAATTTTATTAGATATGTGTTCATTTCATTATTTTCTTAATATTATACAGATATAAGCAATATATTTCAAAAATAATTAAACACTGACGTTATCATGTGATACACGATCTATATTTATTTATTATATCGACTTTTCATACAATATCCAAGCGAATATTTTTTATATTGTTTCTCGACGGCTACACTTTATAAATCTTGTTTGTTGCGAGTAAATTGAACATGTCAAATATTAAGTTAGATTGGCACATGGAACGCCGCAAATTTTTGAATTCATTTCGACTTTTAAATTATAATTCATAGTGTTCAAATATAATTTGCAAAATAATATGTTTTCTCAATTTTTTATTTAAATTATTATTTTCAACAAATAGCAAGTACATATAAGAAGATAATTAAGAATCAATATTTTCATACGCGATATCTTTATTTGCAAACATATAGTTCATTAAGCGGTATCTGATATAACAAGCTGCGTACATATGCTTGATACACAGCATATTTTCTATATATTATATTATTATTGCCATCATCATCATCATCATTATTATTGTTATTATCTTACCTACCTACATCAATCTCATTATATTCAGCACTATACACAAATCGCTTAAAATATTCAGCTTCAACATATTCCAACTTTTATATACCGCAGATAATCCAAGCCCTAAAACTTATTACGTACAAATTTTTCATTGCCTTTATTAAGTATCTATTTATACATGATTATATATGCATGCAGTTCTACTTTCACGAAAATTTACCACCCACCTTTTATTTATTTATTATTATTATTACCTGCCTCAGGACGATCGTGTTCTTTTTTGCTCCCGAATTGACAATCTGCTCGATACTTTACAAAAAAGTCAACTACCCACAATCAAGCCAAAAAAAAAAATGAACAAAACCTTTAAAAGAATGCAACCATGAATAAATATCACGCAAATTGCAAGAAAGTGAATGTGACTGAAAGAAAATGTTCCGCGTCGTTGCCAATACGATACGCGACAACTAACCTAGTTGATCAAGAAACCAACTATGGCGACATCTGGCCCGGCGCGAACACATGGCGCCGCGCATTGTTTCGTTTGTAAAATCAATTTGTATCGCTTCTAGATACGACCAAAGCCATTAACTGCCCTTGTGCGAGTCAACGCGGCCGGTAAATGCCGACTCGAATGGAGTTGCGGATTGTATTGGCAGCGATGTGAGAATATTGGATCGCATTGAACCGTTGAACCGCGGAAGCTGATTTGATGGACAGAAGCGAACTGTATCTTACGATACTTGAATTGCACGATTAAAATTTTACTAAATTCGACAATTTTCCTTTTATTTAATTAATTTTTTATTCCTATAATTTTTATCATTATTTGAAAATTTGTAAAATTTGTCAATATGTAATCTTTTTTTCTCTTAAACAATTCGAAGTGATGCATAATTAAATTTTCTTTATTGTTAATTGTTATATCGATGATAATATGATTTGAAAGGATTTTAGATCAGTTCATTTCGCGGTTCAACGGATCAACGATACGATCCAATTTCAAAAGACCTCGATATATTTTTGATTTGTAACAGTCGAGTTGCGGTGATGCGAGGCCAAGTTGTAACCGAACAAAGAATTGGAATAGTAGGCATCAGGGTGTCCGTGGACAGAGACCCCCGCTTTGGATTCACATTAACTAGAGCTGATGGATGGTGAGTGACTGATTTTATGATTTTATTGTATATCGTTTTGAATATGATACGAGAAGAGTAAAAGTAGAAACTATAGATGAAATTATCTCGTACGATATATGTATATCCATTTAAAGTGCGAATTTACTTTCTTTGAATCAATCAATCAATCATAACCATACGATTGTAACGAAACAAACGCCCTCTTTTCCTCTTAAGAAAACAAAAACGTGTACAAACACTCGTACCGATAATAAACACATAAACATATGGCGTGATATTAGTATTTGTCCTTGATGAATGTGTATGCCAGCTTGGACGCCCTTCGTAATAGGATCAAGGGTGCATTGTAATGAAGGTTGTGGGAGATCTGGTAGGGGTGTGGGGAGATGATGAAACACCTATATCAAACAGGTATATAGTAATCCTGGCGAGGATAATCCTGAAACACGGAGCCGGAGGAGTTGGCCCTGTAAACCACATCAAAGCTCGAGCTAATGATGTCGAAAGCTTCCTAATTACTCCGTGCAAACCTGCGTGATTAGTCTGACCTATGTCTATCCCTTCTTCCCTCTTTTGTCGGATCACCAGCAAAATTTTACCATAATATACTAAACTGCAAACGTGAGAGAGAATATGCATATATTGGTATATGTGTTCACCGATAATATTTCCGTGTATATATATATATCTGTCCCTATCCTTGTCTCATTTTCACTCTCTATCTCTCTCTCTCTCTCTCGCATTCGTAGTTTCACATAATCCCAAACGAAAGTTTGAGATAGAACTCTCTCGTTGTATTCACGGGTTAATGAATACGGGGCCGTGATAGATTGGCAGTTATTGCAGCCAGACTCCCTGATAAATACGCATTTATCACTGTTTGATTGCGAATACGGCTTATATTGTATCCTGTTCGCGAAACATTTCCACGATTCATGTGTTTGTAACGCGACAAGAAACTTTCAAAATCGGATTTCAAACGTGTCCAGGCAAAAGTTTCCGGGGACTGGACCTTACGGCTTAGTTCAATTTGTCGCCTGTTGATGTCGCTACGTGACAAGAACGCACAATAAAATGAAAGAGGGAATGAGGACGCGTAGGGAACTATTTATTGGAATGTTTCCTTGAAATTGAATAACGATATGTTTGTATAATTCAAATTTTTGTATCCTAAATTTTTTACATTTTAATTTATTAAGTGAGATTTTTCAAAAGTGATAAAGAATATTTTGAAATTAATCTTTATGCAATACATAATTACAAATATTAATATCAATTTTTGAACACGTTTATGAAAAATTTTAAATTGGGAATTATAATTTTTTGCAATTAGAATTTTGAAATTCTAGTTGAAATTAAGAAAATCAAATAAATATATAGTTATTATAACCTAATGTAATATTGAAAAGTAAAATTTGAAATACATTCGTATTTTGACCAGGTTCGATGTGTTAGTGAATGGTGGTGGTGCGGTAACACTTCAGTTTCAACGTAGCCCTTTCAAACCCCTCACGAGGACGGTGTTCGTGCCATGGAATCAAATAGTAGTCCTGCCACCTGTGGTGATGACTCTTAACGAGGAAGACGAATCCCCTAAATCCAACCAACCACCCAGTCCAGCCGTTGGTAAGTACGAACTTTTTATTATCATTATCTTTTTTAAGTTTTTTGTCTTTTTTCACATTTTATCGTGTTGCGAAATCAACTGAAATTAAAATAAACAATGGTCCAATATATTTCATACTTAAAACATTGAATGACTATTTTTTTGTAATAAATTTTTCATTCTTTTTATTTTATTTTTTTTATTTATCTTTTAATTTCTCTTTTTTTATTTTATGGATAAAATGTATGTTAATTGTTTATTGCTTCATCATTGTCTTTCAACATGCAAAGAAATTCATAAGGGAAATTCAAAGGAATTCATAAAGGACCCATTGCTGATCGTGTGTGCCGTCTTTGTTCCGTCCTTAAGTGTTTTATGTTTTTAAGTTCCTTACCATTTATGGCATACAATATAATAGGCTTCCCAGGGATATCGATGGGACTATTTAGCGAGCACGGTCCATGCTTGGAACATGATCATGAATTATTGAGACCAATCATCGTCAGCACTTGGATGCCGGAGAAGGTGGGCGGTCTTCCGGGCAAAAGTTTGGTGTTCGCTGAAAGTCAGGTACATATTTTCCTTTTTTACAAAATTTCTATCCATTAATTTTTTATTATATCGAAACCGTTATTTTGAAACCAAACTTATGAATTTTTCTTTGTTCTTTTTTTCCTTGCAGATCGTCCAAGAAAGCATTGCCATTCCAGGCTCGAACTTGCATTTGATGTATCAGAGTAGCCAGGCGGCCGGCTATTTATCGACTGTTAGAATGCAATTGACTGGACCGTTTATCCCAAAGTCGCTGACACATGTGCACGTGCACGTTGAAATTGAGGGGTCATTGCACGCGAAGACCTATGAAGCAGACCCAAATTTGACGCACACGTTTGCTTGGAACAAGAGGAACGTTTACAAACAGAAGGTGTATGGTGTGGCACAGGCAAGGATCTCAATAGGCTATCAACATTCCACTTGTCCAGCGGTGATTTGGGAAACGCAGACAGCCATGTTGCAAGGTTTCGACGTCGATATTTCGGATATTGGAGGCTGGGGATTGGACATTCACCATCACTACAACTTTCACGAAGGAATACTTCAGAAAGGAGATGGTACCACTTTGCATTTCAAACAGTATCCTCGCACTGTGAAAGTGGTGATGGGCACTGGATTGCAAAGAAGCTTGGTGTGTCAAGATTGCGATGGTTTGGCTAAAGACGTTAGGCTATTGACACCAGTGGCGCTCACTAGTGGTCCAGATGGAAGCATTTATGTTGGCGATTTCAATCTAGTACGCAGGATTACACCTGAAGGGGAAGTATACACTGTTTTGACACTAAGGTGAGTTAGAGGCCATATTGAAATATGGAATATAAAGATAGTTTATCCCTTATAAATGTTTTACTTTATAAATTTAGATTTAAGTTTTTGAATAATGAGAAATATATATTTTCAGTGCAACTCAAGTGGCTTATGCTTATTATCTCTGTGTTTCCCCTGCGGATGGCCATTTATATATCAGTGATCCTGAAAAACATCAAATATTGAGAGCTTTATCTCTAAAAGATGTCGAACATCCCAGTATCAACATCGAGCCCATAGTTGGAAGTGGAGAAAGATGTATTCCTGGTGACGAAAGTCATTGTGGCGATGAAGGTCCAGCTATTCGCGCCAAATTGGCTCATCCGAAAGGTACATTTTCATATAACTTAATAAACTAATTCCTTACCATTATATTATCACTTGCTACTTATTTTGTATTAACAGGAATCGCCATTGCCGCCGATAAGACTATGTACATCGCCGATGGAAGAAACATACGCGCCGTAGATCCTCATGGAATTATTCACACATTAGTTGGACACCACGGACATCACAATCATTGGTCCCCGGCTCCATGCGTTGGTGCTATACCCGCTCATCAAGCCCAATTACAATGGCCAACTGGATTAACCTTAAGCCCTCTGGATGGATCCCTTCATTTCATCGATGACAGGCTCGTTTTGAAACTTACAAGCGATTTAAAAGTTCGCGTAGTAGCTGGAACACCACTCCATTGCACTAGTAATACCAATAATAATGGGAACAGTAACGATGGTGACCTAAAAAAAGTAAATTCGACGACAACCACGAGTCCAAAGAAATCTGACGAAGTACTTGGCTCTGTACTTGCCGTTAGTTTCAGTCCAACTGGTGAACTCTACATAGCAGAAAGCGATTCACACAGAGTGAATTCTATAAAAATTGTAGATAGTTCTGGGAAAATGTCCCATTTTGCTGGACAACAACAAGAAAGGTTGCGTGGTCAGTGTGAATGTAATAATACTACTCCAAGCAGTAAAGATTTGGAAAGTTGCGCATGTACTGATGACACTAGTAGTACAGAAACTTTGCTGTCATCGAATGCTAAATTCACAGCCATTTCTGCTCTGGCCGTGTCACCAGATGGCGTCCTTCATGTGGCTGATCAAGGCAGCCTGCACATTTTAGCACTGCAACCGTATCTTCCAAATCATGATGAAAGTGGGGAATTCCATATTCCTTTCCCACCATCGAACGAGGTATACGTGTTCAATCGTTACGGTCAACACATCTCCACGAAGGATTTAACATCTGGTAAGACCCGTTATTCGTTCTTGTATAGCAAAAACACAAGCTTTGGAAAATTATCTACCGTGACGGACAGTGCTGGAAATAAGATTCAATTCTTGAGGGATTACAGCAGTGTGGTCAGTTCTATAGAGAATACACAAGATCATAAATCTGAATTAAAGATTTCTGCAGTTGGCTTCTTGGAGAAACTGTCTGAACGAGGAAGGGCTGAAATTGCACTTGCCTATGATGGTTCAACAGGATTACTGACAAGCAGATCAGGGGGTGGTGAAACGTATATCTACAATTATGACAATTTGGGTCGTGTTACCGATGTCATTCTACCTACTGGTGAAAAATTGAAGCTATTCTCGGATCTATCTGACGACGAAGGTCTATTGGTCAAAGTGTCAGCCCCGCTTCAAGCTTTGTCAAAAGGAGACAAGCAAAGAACCGTAGAATTTAAAATGAAAAATGAGAGATCAAAGATGCTAACGATTACTGATGGTACCAAAATCAAGAAAGCGATCGCTTTCACTAACAGCAGTTTAGAGGTTCTCCTTCCTGGTGGTGGTAGAGTGCTAAGTGCAGCCACTACAAAACATCCACTTCTAGAAGCTGCGTTACCAGTCGAGGCCGAAATGTTGCCAATGTGGAGTTATCAGTTGATGTCTCTTGGTGAATTAACCAACACTATGACCACTACGTACAATCTAGTCGGCGACGTTAGCCACTTTCAACAGACCTTAAACAGAGAAATTTGGGTGAACGATACACGCGTTATTGGGGTAGAATTCGAACAAGCTTTCAGACGAGAAACTTTCTATGATAAAACGAGAAACCCGTTGCTTACTGTTACCTTCGATCCTGCTGGCTTACCCCTGACTTGGCAACCGCATGAACAAGGTTACAATCTCACGATCACATATGATAGATTCAATCGAATAGAAAGTTGGAAGTGGGGTCCATCCGATGAATCGTATGGATACGATCGTCATGGACAATTGTCAGAGGTCACTAGTAGTCAGGATGGAACTAAACGATATACCTATAACGATTTCAATGTGCTATCCAACATTACTCTGGCCAGTGACAGACATTTCACTTTGCAATATGACGATGATGGTGGACTACGTCACATTATCCTCCCATCGGGAACTAAACACTCGTTCTCGTGTCAAACTTCTCTAGGTTTTCTCAGAGTGACTTACACTCCACCAGGCAGCAGCAGAGCCTACCTCCAACACTATAGTCACGACGGAAACTTGTTACAAACTGTGTTCCCTGGTGATGGAGCTCGTATCGTGTACAGGTACCACACTTCAGGACAACTTGCTGAAGTCGTTCACGGTGATGGAAAGAGTGAAATTAGATATACAGAAAGCGGTTTGCCCTCGGAAGTGATTCATTCTGAGAAAGACGTAGAGTACAAATGGGACTATCAGTATAGCGCTGGTCTATTGGTGGAAGAACGCATAGATTTCGGTGCAAAGACTGGACTGAGCAATGCAAAGTTTACGTTCGACTATGATTCAAACTTCAGATTGGTAAATGTTCAAGGTAGAATCGGTGGCCAAACTCTTCCAACTCATACTATAGCGTATAGTCCCAAAACAGGTATGTTGGAACAAATTGGACAGTTCAAAGTAACCAGACCTCAGCCCAACGAGACCACCGTGTTCGATGGTACTGCATTGTTTTCGAGAATTACAGATGACAGATTTTTAGAGACACAAGTGACACTGACGATTCACCAATTAGAGGTTTTCAGAATGGAATTTACACACGATACTCGTGGTCGTATTAATCAGACTAGGACTTACACTCGCAATGTGGCCGTCAATACTTATACCAACGTGAAGAATTACACCTGGGATTGTGACGGCCAATTGACCGGGGTCGAAGCTCAAGAGCCATGGGGATTTAAATACGATGCGAATGGAAACATGTTGTCACTGACATATCGAGGAAACACTATACCTATGGAGTACAATAGCATGGATAGGATAGTAAAATTCGGTGAAGGATTGTATAAATATGACAACAGAGGTTTGGTGGTGCAGAATGCCAGAGAAGAAAGATTTAACTATAATGCTAAAGGACTTTTGGTTCGCGCGACTAAACGTGGACGCTTTGATGTTCGTTATTATTACGATCATCTGGATCGTTTGGCTACAAGAAAGGATAATTATGGAAACGTTACTCAATTCTTTTATAACAATCAAAAACGTCCCCACGAAGTGAGTCAAATTTATAGTCCAAGGGATGGTAAATTAATGTCGTTAGTGTACGACGATAGAGGGCATTTGATTTATGCTCAAGTTTATCGGCACAAATATTATATCGCCACTGATCAGTGTGGAACTCCGATCATGATTTTCAGCCAGTATGGTGAAGGTATCAGAGAAATAATGAGATCACCTTACGGCCATATTGTTTACGACTCGAATCCTTATTTATATTTGCCTGTTGATTTTTGCGGAGGATTGCTAGATCAGGTGAATTAAATTTAATCATGATTGTTCTCTATTATAATATTGATTGATATGTTCATTTCTTTAATTCTTTTCTTTTTTTTTTTTTAATTTAGGTAACGTCATTAGTGCATATGCCAAACGGTAAAGTTTATGATCCATTGATAGGCCAGTGGATGTCTCCCTTGTGGGAGAATGTTCTCGACAGAGTGGATACACCGACACATCTACATTTGTACAGATTCAATGGGAACGATCCTATTGATGTTAGGCACACGGACCGACCAAATCAACCAACTGGTAAGTTAAAAATAAATTATTAACGAATTAAAAACTTAATTTACATCATATTATAATAATACTTATACGATACAAATTAATAAATACGAATATCGAAAAATATATCAAATATTTACTTATTGGTATCTTATTCTCAGATCACATATCATGGATGTCGCTTCTTGGATACGATTTAAAGACTCTCGCACCTCAACTTTTCCCCGACGAACTGCCAGATAGCCTCGTTCCTCCAGCTTTGGGTCCAGGCACTTCCATATTTGGCAAGAAGAAGAGAACCAGGAACCTCGGTGTTCAATCGGGATTTCTAGCCTATATCGCACAAAGGCATTCGGGAGATGCCGTCAGTCTATCAGCGCCGCCTCGTTCAGCCCTTAAAAAGGACACCAGCGACTTGATACCCAGCCGTCTGGGTGCAGCCTCGGATCCTCCATTTGGAAAAGGAATTTTAGTATCGAGGACTGCAGATGGCCAAGCAGTAGTGTCCAGCGTGCCAACCGCGAACGCCATCTATGGCGATGTGTTCACGTCGGTATTTAACCGTTCGTACTTTCTCCCTTTCACGTTTGTGGTGCACAGTGCGCAGCAGGACGCGTTTTATTCGTGAAGGAAGAAACGTGGCGAGCTAGTGAAGATCGTGGTCAGTTGAAACGTTTAGGTGGCCAAGTTAATACAACGTTTCACGAAAACGAAAACGGAAGTGGTAGTAGTTCATTGATAGACGTGAAGATCCACGGCTCCAGTTATATTGTGAATCTGCGTTACGGCACAACTGCCGAGAAAGAGAAACAAAGACTGCTCCATCACGCCAAGGCGACCGCTATTCGCAAGGCCTGGCACAGGGAACGTGAGGCGCTAAAGGCCAACACGCCAACGGCCATCGAATGGATGGTGGCCGAACAAGATGAGATTCTGAAATCTGGATCCGCGTCCAATTACGAGGGTGAATACATCCACGACGCACAGTTGTATCCAGAACTCGCGGAAGATCCGTATAACATCCGATTTACGAAGAAGGCTGTGGATCCGTCTAGTAAAAAACGGCGTAGGAGGAGAGGCGCCCCCACTTGTAAACTTTGGTGGTTGGACAAAATCTGCTAATCTCAGTAAGTTACCGTTCTAAACCAGGGAGTCCTCCTCTCCTGATTCACATTCTGTTCTGCCGGGAGAATTGTCCAATCGTTAAAGCAACAGGAATTTCCAAACGAACGACTGAACGAATAAGAAGAGGTTGGAGAATTGGATCGAAGAAAAAAGGAAGAAATTGAGCCGCAGCGAGTCGGCAGTCCTTCGTATGGAACACTATCCGAACACTATCAAAAGAAACAAAAAAAAAAAATTTAAAAAAAAAAGTTTTAATACCAAAGTCTATTTGTGTATTTCGAAGATGCCAAAAACATTTAACGTTATATCGATTATATTGTATCGCGATTTAGGGTGTAGTGTGTAAGCATCTCGGAGAAAATTTTTGCCTCCGCGCACGACCGTGTTGCCATAACTCGCGACTCTTGCGGACTGATAGTATATATTATCGTCGTCGGCCATATTAAGGAAATTCGTTATTAATTCGTTAGGAAGCCTTTCGTTCTTGCTATAGTTACGGGAAACGACAAAGAGGTCGTGGACCATTTCATCGTTTTCCTCTTCGCGAGATAAGGAAGACTTCCTTAATGAAGACGATCGTGGAATCACGAAAATTATGTGCGTTCACTATCGTTGACTCGTAACGAATCACTGCGTCGTTAGATGAAAGAAGAATGACGAAAAATAAAGGCAGAAAGCAGGCCATTCGTCGTTCGAGCGAATCGAGTGAGAGAAACTAGTCAATATATAGCTTTACATTGACATATAAACTTTTTCCAATAAGATAAGCATACGAAGCATACGTTCGTCGATTTATCATGCGAAGAAACAAACTTTGTGTATCCATCTACCTGTCTACACACGCGATACCTTAGTTGTACTTAGGTGAATGAAAAAAGATAAAAAAAAAAATTAATAAAAAAGACGATTCTGTCGAGATAAAATGATAGGAATGAACATAACCTATGTACGGATCGCAAATAAAAGCGGAAGGAACATGCGCACGTGTATCTCGACAATGAATGGCCCTGTCAATGCTGAGGAAAATCAAGTTAAAAAAATCAAGTTCCGTCGCTATGCATAACGATTGATCAGCGTCCAATGTGTCGATGAATGTATTGCAAGAACGCGAGATGATGGCGAAGTAAGTGGTTCGATCGAGACAGGTGATTAACGTAGCACGTTTCGAGTCGATATTCCGAATTTAAATGGTCGATGGGGCAAAAAGGAGAAAAAGGAGAAAATGGCGATGTGTTTAAGGTGTATTATAAAAGTGGTGCTTTTCCATGCAAAGAAGAAATTATCGGTGCAACATTCGACAATGAGCGTGACTAATTAAAAGAATGTCGATGTACACGAACACACAATTCACACACACGTACACTGCATAGCGTGGCTAAGATATTTTTAACGATGGATGTATCCTACCCACTTCCCCTACTTAGCGCTAGCGACCATTTCCTCGAGAATTGATGTCGCGTCGCGTATGATTTGTTGTTCAAGAGGAAGAGAGAGAGAGAGAGAGAGAGAGAGAGAGAGAGAGAGAGAGAGAGAGAGAGAGAGAGAGAGAGAGAGAGAGAGA